ATATATATATATATATATATATAAGTGCATGCTTCCAATTCAATTATATATCAAAAAAGAATAGAAGCTTGGTGGTTGAAAATTGAAGATTATTGAATTGGAAGCATGCATTTGAATATATATATATAGAGAGAGAGAAACATTTAAACCTTTTATACTAAGATATGTGACATGCTTGTGTGTGCCATTCTTAAAATAATAAAATTATAAATTAAATGTTTTTGATACATTTTAAATACAAGATTTTCATAATTTATTATTTTTCTCAATTTTATGCATTAATTCAAACATAAAATAACTTAGTTAGACATCTATCGGGTTATTTACGAACTGATTTGATTAATCAACTCACCAGTTCAATAAAAAAATTCAACGGTCGTCACTCTAATTCTTTAATATTTATGTTTAAACAACTAATTCACATTACTTACATATTATCATTTCCAATAAAATTAAATCAATTCATATCCAATTTTTATAATACCACCAAATTGTCAATCCTTTATGACAATATATGTCACTTCACCTTCTAAACTTATTCAATATTTTAAACCTTTTTCACATGGCACCAATCGATATTTTTCATGTCTTTCACGCTTGTTAGATCAACAATTAATTGAGATACCAATCCTTACACATGATTTTATAGATGTCGTCACTTAAAGTAAGAAAGTTTAGTATTATTGTTAGGTGCAACATAGCTTGGGTAAAGGTTTATCATGATATTGACATGCATTAACCAAGTCCTCTATGTATTCCAACTCATTTAACTATCCTCATGATACCACATCCCTCTCTAGAAATTAGTTAAGGATTGTAGCCTTCAACTTCATACCTTGGCCTAACATTATCTAAGGATCTAGAAGAGACTCAACAATTCACTCCAAGAGATAATGCCTACTCAATGAAGATTTTTAAAAAATGAACTTATAGAGCATCACACTAATATCCACACAATGGGATATTCAACTTTCAAAAGCAACCTCTCATCTAATTCTAAGTCAGTTAATATGCTTAAATGCCTATAACACTCTCAGCATCAAAACCTCAATAGGTCAACAAATCATGCTTAAATGACTAAAACATTCTTAGCAACACACCTCAACAATATTCATCTATATGAATTACTCGAAGTCAATGACTATAGTTCTCACAACATCAATCAATTTACAATATAATTGCACACACACACACGCACACACATAACACCCATCATAATCCAAGTAGGGTCAATTCTCTCACATCACATCCAACACCATTTAGACCATGTGTAACGTGACCAAGTCAAAGGCTATTCTCTTTCATGTCCAACACTACCAACCCTACATCTGACATAAGCAAGACAAAACCCCTTGATTTGAGTCATACTCAAAGCCATGAAGGCGAATGTCTAGCGCAATGAGGAGTCTTGCACTTAGCAGATCACGAATTTGGCTCAAACCACTTGAAAATCAACAAATCTCAAGCATACAATGCAATATAACACACATACACATCATCCATATTTCATTTTACACCAAAACAACAACATGCAACAAAAATTAAGATTATTCACCAACATTTCACTTTCATAACTCAAAGCACCAAAACTCAACCCTTCCATTGTTCAATAAGAAAATTAACCAACCCAATCACGTTTGATGGTATTCAAATACATGTAGCTCATATAACTCATCAAGAATTGATTTCTAACTTCCATTACCTCAAATCTGTAGATAACTAAGAAGAAATGAAAGTCGAGCTTTGAGCAACAAGAAGCTCTGCACCACACCCCTACAATGGTGATCTTCAACTAAAGGTCTTTGATCACCACTCAAGCACTTAATGAAAAATCTTTTACTCTCCTAGGAAGTCTAGAAAAAGGAAGAAGAATTTGAACTTTAAAAATCCTCTCACTAGTTTATCTCTCCAAAAATCTTGAAAACAAACTTATAAAGCTCAATTCTTAAATGAAACCTTTTATATTTTCCTCATCAAAGTCAAATTAGACTTCTACTTAGAAAAATCCTCTAAAACACCTAAAAGGCTCCTCAAGAGTTCCCTAACTCTTAGAGTCCTTCATCACCACCTCAGGACACCACAATATGTAATTATTAACAAAAATACAATTATTAAAGAAAATGTATAGTGTTACATATTTTAAGAGTAATAAATTAATTTTATGTAATTAACATTATTGGTAAGAATAAATTAAAAAAAAAATCTTTTTGAATAAGACCAGGTATTACAAACTTTTTATAACTTCAAATATGTGTAATAACTAACACATTTGTTCTAGTCTAACTAATGATTTAGTTCAAATCCTAAATATGTGATTGAAAGAAAAATATTGTTGTCCATGATAATCCTACACAATTTGTGAAGTGATTACCTCATATGAAAGATATATTTGGTTTTGGTATCAAATTTTTTTTATCAATTAAAAATAAATCAACTCAATTAAATTAAAATCATTCCGGTTAAATCATCAAGTTTGGTGATTGTTTTAAAAAATATGTTTTTTAAAATGTAAAACTCAAAAAATGAATATATCTATCTACCTATCTATCTATCTATCTATAAATATATATATATATATATATATATATATATATATATATATATAAATTCTAAATATTTCCTATATGCCGTTTGGAATATTATGAATAACCAAATATGAAGATGAAGAAAAAGAACAGGCGAATATGCAATTGCTAGAGTTTCTATTTTTTAATTTCTTGATTTTGTACAAGTAGAGAATTTAAAACATTTAAGGATAGTGAAAATGTAAAAAATATTGATAATTTGAATTTTTGTATTGCAAATTTGTATTCAAATTAGTTTAACCAGTTGTTTTAATTTACTTATCTAACTCAAAATAAATGAAGTTTGAGACTCATAAAAAAAAACTAATGAATTGATGTAAATCAAATTTTGCTTTTGTTGATAGTCATGAATTGTCGTTTCATATTTATATTTTTTTTTCTTTTACTTTTTACATAACTAAAAGTAACTTAAAAAAATGATTTGAATTTCAACTCTTTTATTACTTTTTTATCTTTCTTAAATTAGTCAAAACATAAACATTTATTAGTCAAATTGATTCTACAATTAGTCTTTAAGTCTCAAGGTCTCGAGTTTGAGTCTTGTATTTAATAAAAAAAATGACGTTAAGAAGAATAACCTAATTGTAGACATAGTCCCGAAGATAAACTAGTTTTCAATGAAATTGATAGATATTTTTTCTAGTGTTACTAAATTTGCTATCCTTTATTCAACTTCTTTATAAAGTTTCTAAATAAATTATAACTTCAATTAAAAAAATTGAAGTTATAGATATCAATTTCATTTTTGCATTGTCATTTTAAAAAATAAAATATAAAAGTGTATCCCTTAATTATACCACGACTTCAGAGAATAAATTTAATTTTCTTTTATTTTATTTTTTTTCTTCTTATTAATACATATAGACAAATTTATAGTACCATCCACTAACTTCTCTCGACTTTACCACAAATTATGAGTTTAGGTCAAATTACTTTGTAGCCAGGTGGCGTGTGTAATAGTCAAGTCAATATAGTGTTGGTGAAATAATGGTCGAGTTACTGAAGTACAAGTAGTATCTAGAGTGCCAAAACAATACCAATTTTAATCATAGTGCTCTCTACATACGAAAGCGTGCAGCATGTTCACATATCATTTCATATTTTATACAAAAAAGTAATATCCAGAATTATAAAACGTGCATCAGACCATTTGATGCTACCGCTAATGTTTAGTTACATGTGATATGATTGTAATTTATAATATTAATACACTATTAATAAATAGGTGGAAATTAACATATTATATATAGTGCTCCAAATGATGGAATAGTATAAAGTTCAGAAATAACTTGTAAAGTTCTTTCTAGTAGAGTCAAAACATTTACATATTTTTTTCAAAAAAACAAAATTAGAACTTTGGACACAATTGTGATCCAACTACGGTAAAAACAGATGTAAGTCTTCAAATGAGAAGAAAAATAAGTAATGAGAAGACAGATCTTTTACCTAAGTTTTGAAGGTCAAAATAGTCTCATTGAAAATGGAGACTAAAAAGAGTTAAGGGAAAAGGTACCCCCTTAATCTGTTATTATAGATGTCTCTATTGTTCTATAATTTAAACTAAAAAAAATCCCAATTTTCCCCTTTCAAATCCTAATCACATCTTACAAAATCCTTTAACTTCTATCAAAGTTCTACTAAAATTCCAAATTCCAACCTTTAACTTTTAAAATTATTTTATATTAGAAATTCAATAATGGCAAATAAGAATTAAAGAATTTTATATAAAAGAAAACTTACCGAATGACCAAATTTGTTTAATTTTAAAAATAAAGGGCCTTGATTGGCTAAAAATAAAAAATAAAAAAAACTTAACCATAATTGCATAGTCTAAATTAAGGAAACCAAAGGAGTAATTAAGTTAGAGCAGCAAGAACAAACAAGTGATAACTTAAAGAAATACATCAGCATTATTTAAAATTAAACCCTAATACACAGGTTATATAACAGTCCAGCTAATGAGTCAGTAAGATTCAGCTTTTAAGACGTGGTATTAGGTACAAATTTTACTACTATACTTTCATTCATTGCTATCAGCCTCAATAAAGCATACCTTGGCCATGAAATGAGGTTCTCTCTCCTCCCCTCCCCTAAACTTTGCTAATAAGAAAAATGTACAATGCAGTTGACAGCAAGAGGAATCAAGCTGTTCAATAGCACCAACACCTAAGTGAATGACCTTAGAGTTCCTGGGAGGGGCATTAGACATGAACCAAGAAAATACCAACAAAATTTAACCCTCGGCCAAAAGAAGTATGCACAAGTACCAAATCGTTGTCTAAAACTATTGTGATCTCACCCTTCCCCCCTCCCCCAGCCCAACTAGTGTATGATGTATTATGCTTCAGCTCAGTTCTTTCTTCTTTTTTTTTTCCCTCTCTTGGGAACATTGGTACAAAATTCCATTTCTTGCAAATTGAATTTGTAATACCTTTTCTTGTCATCGTAGTTTTTTTCCAAATATTAACCTAGTTGGACTAAGATCAGCACAAGGGTATAAAGAATACAAAGATACAGGGACAAGTCAAAGCCGTTCGTGTGATCATCTGAAGTTGCAGCAACCGGCTCGACCTCTGGACAATTTGTCCCACAGACAGATCATCTGCCTTGGTGATTGGTAATGTGCAGTGAAGTAGCCCTCCATGCATCCATACTGACAAAACTTCCAACTATGAGAGTACTGGACGGCCGCCACAGTATTGTTATATCGCTCAACCCACATTCCCATGCTTACATCCTCCATTTTAAACAGCTGCCATCAGAATACATTTCAGTCAACTACGATTTTATTGATGTAGCAAAGGTAATAAAATCCAGATAAAAATTTAAAGGTTAACTAACCCTTAGTCTCCTATCCTTGTGTTGAGATAAGATGAAAGTAACAACATCACTGGAAATTACATACGCTGGCCCATTTGCATAAGGAGGATATACTTCTTCTGGCCACTCCTGCAACAACAAAAAACAACACCTCAGAGAATGGAAAAGAACGTACAACATTTCATGCATTATCTGTACCTGCCACCAAATATATTTTAGACAAGCACAGTAGGTCACTAACCAAGGGAAAGAGAAT